CGTTCAAACTTCTCCAACGGTGGCCGGTGAGTGACGACAACGGAGCAACAGTGGTAGGATGATTTCGATCGAGTTTTGAGCCTACAGTGACGGTGAGTCCAATGGTGCAGGCGGTGAGGTGAATGAACGGGTTGATCGACCGGAATCGATGAAAAACATGCGATGGTCAGGCTAAAAATGACGAAGCTACAAATCGAGTTTTATGGCGAACGACGTCGATTTACGACGAGATAAGGGTCGGGTTTTGTTCACCGTTCAACAGTGAGTCTTTTGGTAAGGGTGGGTCGAGCTGAGGTGGCTGGACGACGATGAATTTGGCTGGTAAAGGAGGATCGATGGGGAAGGAAGTTGGGGGTAAACTTTTAGGGAAAACCAAATTGCTCGAGGAGGGGTTTTAATTTTCAACATCCAACAAAAATGGGCAAATTCAGGACTAGGTCCCTAAATTTCTTACACATTCTAAAACTGACTCTAAGTTTCAAAAACTTATAATTTGACCCCTAAATTGGGGTGTTACATATGTGTTGTGTTGTATGCTTCCAATGGCCTCGAATATTCTGAAACACATAATTTATTTTGTTCACGAGATATATCATATTCATCACGTTTGAATGATGCATAAAGGTTTGCAATTTTGTATGGATCTCTAGGTGGACTGTTTGGCTCATGCTATCCAGACAACTGCTTGTTTTTCTAAGGTTGCAAACAGGGTTGCCAACCGATAATATGTCGTTTTGACAGCGGAAGTGATAGGAAAATGTCGCACTCCATTTAGTGATGAATTGATCGCTTTAACCAAGTTCGTTATCATGTAACCATATCGTCTACACACATCAAATAATCGAAGCCATTTCTCCATTGGGATTTTAGCAAGGTAGTATAGCTTTGTTCATTCATGTCTCTCAATTATTGAAGTAGCTACTCAACCTCACGTACGAAATGCGTGTGACCTATCTATTAAAAATACAATAGATAATTAGAAATAATAAATTTAAAGATATCTTAAACCTAAAAGAGTGAAAGATATACCTATTCAAAGCACCATTACATATTCATATTCGGTCCTGAACTTTTGCAAATAATTTGCAGCAATATAATGTAAACAATATCAGTGATAAATATAGAAAGATTGCCAAGACAGTCTCATATGCTAGATTGAGTACTTGATCCATGGGTCTCTATCAGAAATAAGACATATCTAATAAACTTTATCATGCAAAACATGTGATAGAACATGTCTTCGTAAATTCTTAAGGAATAATTTCCATGAGTCTATATCTTTTTTTTTTCCGACTATTGCGAAGGCGATGGGAATGGTTTTCCTATTGACGTCTTATGCAGCCACCAACAATGATATTTGTGTGTATTTGCTGCACAATCAAGTTTCATTAATCTAAACCATTGGCTTGCAATGGTAGAATGCATTAACACACTGCGAAAATATCCAAAATAGCTGATAGAATTGGCACATACCTTGGACGACACGATCATTTTTGTATGCCGGTGCAATTTCTAGTTTCACAATCATTCTCAGTATATGTTTCTGTATCAATTTTAGTCATGGTCGTAACTCTTTTTACGATTCCTCCCATTTACCATACAATTTTTTGTTAAGCCCGAGACCTTCCATAACATGCTTTATGGTAGTCAATTATCGTATTGAGATGTAATTGCAGCAATACAAGTGTCAATTTTTATACGTGGATTTGCTTTAACTAGTGGAATGAAGGCATCACAAAGCGCGTGAACATCCAAGTTACGATGATCCTGATTGAGCTTGATGACGGTGCATGTATAAGGTTGGTCATATTTTGTTAGCTTCCATATGTTGTTCATCGTCTTCAATCGTGAAACACGAACCATCCAATTACATCGTTGGTTGTTGTGAACACATTTAACAATGTACATGTCCGCGTTTGTTTTTTCACAAGCGAGGTAATTGATCGATGTATATTATAGTTCTTAATGACAGTCACAATGAGTTATTTTGTTCTAAACTTCACTTCAATATAGAGCTCACCATCAACACGTTATGCAAGGCGCAAGTTCCTTACCACTTCACGTCCAAAAGAATCTCTACAGAACGACACAAGATTTTTCCCTATTTAAATTCCTCTTGTTCCACCAAACCTAACCTTGTCTGAAGCCTTCTTCATCATTCTTATTTATCCATTCTTGGAAACTTCTCGTTTATAAAAGGAATCTTATTCAAGTGGTATCTTCTTCTTCTCTCGGGCTTTTTGAGAAACTTCTCATTCCATCAATTAGGATCAAGCGAACACTCTTTGAATTTCTCTAGCGTGTTGGTATATTTCTACCGAGTTTTTTCCTTACATTTTGTACCGACGATACCAAGAACACAAGTCTAAAACGATGTTTTTTCTCATTTGTGATGTTGATTTCATAAATAACATACATTAACTTATCATTTTGTATGGACAAAGTTGATTTGACTAGCGTGTTGGTATCATTTGATACAAGGCATCATCTTCTAGTGGCATCATCTTCTTCTCTATGCTAAGATATGAACCAATAAGTGCCTCAACAACTTCATATATTATTTGGAGCTGTTTACGCCACATTGCTACAAGTTATTTACAAAATATGTTCGTTTATTTTCAAGTTCTTTTTGTTTGTAACCATTTTGAATGCGATTTTTACCCGTTTACAATATTTTGTATGTATCAATATTATTTTCAATCAAAAGATAAGTTGCAATACTACACCTATAAGATAAAAAATTACACAAATGTTTTGATTAACTTCTCGAAAATACTCCACGAACATGTTTATCAAACCATTTTAGCTTGTTAATCATGCACAAACCAAGCTTTGGAACCATTTTAATGCAATTTTTTCCCGTTTATACTGTCTCGTATGTGCGGTTATTAGACTCAACGGAAAAATAAGTTTAAATACTACGCTGCTAATCTTATAAATTACAAAAAATTTCCAATATAAACCCGGGAAAATGCCTCGAACATGCATATAAACAAATGAATTGTGGCCTGAAAATGAATGGACCTCGTGTGCTGTAAGGCGCGAGATCCTACGAAAAAACAACCTCACGTTTTACAGATCGTGAGTTCATTCTGACACGCTAGAAATTAGACTCAACGGAAAAATAAGTTTAAATACTATGCTGCTAATCTTATAAATTACACAAAATTTCCAATTTACAACCCGGGAAAATGCCTCGAGCATGAATATAAACAAATGAATTATGGCATGAAAATGAATGGACCTCGTGTGCTGTAGGGCGCGAGATCCTACAAAAAACAACCTCACATTTTACAGATCGTGAGTTCATTCTGACACGCTAGATTTTATTCGAATTACAAGTCATATCTTTTCAATGGATCTTGTGTTGTACATGACTCGAGGTCCATCGATTGCTCGCTTCAGAAAGGGTGTGAGGACTGTTATAAATATGGGTCCATGTGTAGGGTTTTCTCAACATATTTCAAAATAACGCAAAAATATTTTTAGTAATATTGTAGAGTTATTAGCAAAAGAGGTGTTATCGAAAATTCTTATGCACGCACGTCTAATTCTATTGTCGATTTAGTCAATACGCTGTTGAGTTGCAAGACTTTTTATGAATCCTCAAAGCATAATTACATCTATAAAATGTTTCAATGAAGAATATTTAAGTCATTTCGTGGACTCAAAATGAGATAAGTTTTGAAGAAAGATGCAAAACTAGTAATAATCACGAAGCGTTATATAAAGGAGATATGTATGGTTATTTTAGTGGAAGAAATTTAGAGTCCGGTATGCATTGTTTGAAGAGAGCACCTTATAAAGGTAATATCAAAGTCATATATATCTAGGGCATTATTCTAATTTGTTCTAGGTAAACTATGAGATGAAAGACTTCGAATCGTGAAAGCTCTTGATCTCGTCAATTCTAAGAAAATAAATTTAGAAGTTATTTGTTCAGATATTAATGTGTTTTTAAACTTAATTTTATGAAGTCGTAAACCTTACATTTCCATAACTAATCAAAGACTAAAATTGAGATAACAACTGTCCTCGTACTTCAATCGACCAAGTTTGGCAACCAGGGAACAACCTATGTACTTGTTAAGATTCTTGATTTTGGAACCACGAAGCAACTTTGTTTTGTAAGATGTTACAACATAATGAATTTTAATTTTAATAAGTATTTTCTATTTATTACAATAGATTTTTTTGTTATTTTATTTTATACTTTACAATACAATAAAAATATAATGATTAATTCAACTTAATTCATGAAATAGTTTGATATTTTTATTATTATAGTTTGGACCTCGCGTTACGTATACTACGAGGTCCGTTCAAAACGCGTGATAATAAAATTTGATGCTTCAAATTCTTGGAGACGCTTTAAATTCTTGGAGATCTCGCGTTATGTAGAACACGATGTTATTGATAGAAATATTAAATTATGAGACCTGAAAATTCCATTCACGTAGGACGTATCTCTCAGATTGTATAACGCGAGGTCTTTATACATTTTATGTGGAACGCCAGGTAATCCTACATGAGTAATTTGTGTGATACTTTTTTAATTAATGCTGTTTAGGAGTTGTTTTACTAATAAATAAAATTTTAGGTTTTTTTAATAAAAACGCCAAATTTAATCGTAATGTATGAATCGGATATAGGGGTTACACTTATCTCTCCCACTACCACACTGACCAACATCATTCATGCTTTCACAACTGATTTTATGTGACAAATTATCTTAAAAATAAAATACAACCTTGATCTGACACCCTTATCTGTTCACTTTGTCACCCACATAACAACCGGCAAACAATAACAATAGTGGTGGGCTTGGTGGGACCTATCAATTATTTTTCAAAGAACAAAAGCCCTCAAAATCTGATGAACAATCCATATACATCTTCATTACCATCACCATAATTACATGTCTCTTACACAAGTGGAGAACAACAATCATCAAAACTGTAAATCTATTTTTGTCTTAAACAAATAACCATATCATTACCTTATACAGTGGTTGGTTCTTGATGTATGTCAAGTTGAAGCTGCAATCTCTTCAGTTCAACCCCACGTGATCTCCTCTGCCAAAGGGTGTCGGATACATCTCTCTTAATATCACCTTTCTTTATGACAGGCAAAGGAGGATCCATAGTTTCAATGTTGATTAACCCACAATTCCCTTTTTTCCTTGTGCAACTGGTAGAAGTATTCATGGCCGGACTTGCAGTCAAATTCTTACCAGAAAACAGCTTCTTGAGCCTGAAATACTTGACACTGCTGTTGCAGGTGTTCTTGTTGTGAGAAACGGGGAACCCTATAATCTTGTTGTTCCTCTTCACTTGTCCCATGCAACTGATCTTTGGGGACAAAGGGTCTTCGGAGAAAGAAGCAGACCTTTGGATTTGCCATTTGGGAAGAACGACGTCTTTAATGGAAGGTTTGGAGCACAACAATGGCAGAACCCTTCCCTTATGATTAATATGCTGATGATATCCATTTCCCATGTTTGTCAACTGGGAAAGAAGAAGGAAAGGGGGGGGGGGGGTTGTTTAAAGGGTGGGGTGGTGGAGTTTGTCAACTCCTTTTTTCTAGTGAAAGTGGATTTGATTTGAGTTTGTCACAAATATATGCTACATTTTATGTTGTTTTAGCGTTGAAAAATTGTTAATTAAGAACAAAGAAAAGGACGAAATAAAAGTGAGTTATTTCTTCTTACCTTTAGTTTATGTTTTTCTTACTAGAAACTTGGGTAAACGGATAAACTTATAACACAAACGCCAAACTAATATATATATATATATATATAGGTTTAGGATCCACTTAGATAAAATTAATAAGTTTTACACTAATTTATAGCCATTAGATTAAAAATAAATAAATTAGATATAATAAAAATTTATAACTAATAAATAAATATTTCTTTAACTCACAGTAAAATAATATATTTAGGTTTTAAGGTTTCAGATTAAGTGGTTAAGATTTAAGATTTAGGGTTAATACTTATGATTAAAGGGTTATGAGTTTAACGTTTAGGGTTTAGGATTTAGTGTAACACATGAATACCAATATTCAAGTATCACATGGAATCACCGAAGTGACTGACCATTTTTTTTCTTTTGAGACCATACTCACTTTTAAAATGTGTATACAAAGTATTAACCCCAACTATTTACAAAATCGGGGCACCAATTTAAAAAATCTATAAATAAAATAAATACTTAAAATATTATAATTTGACTCATTTCATATCATGACATCTACATGCTCACTAAGCCATCATCAATGTGCTCTAATACTCCATTGAGACTCCTCCGATGATATCTTTATCCCATTGCACTCCACGAAACTTGAAACCTGCAAACGAAAATAAATTCCGAATGCTAAGCTCGCAAGCCCCACGCCGCACAATACCTCTATTATAACATAAGCATACTAATAAGCATAATCGGAGAAGCATACAACTATGTCATCAATACTACCAAACCATCTATCTAAGGTATTACAATGTTGCGAGTCTCATGCTTCCCTTAGTTCATAGCGAAAGGCCTCATCATGAGTATCCATATACTGGTCTCTAACCACAATACCATGCTACTATGTATCATCTTATGCCACATATAATCAAACGAACAAAATTATAGTACATAGCCATCAGGTACTAATCATACAACAACAAAATGCATCAATCATAAAGCCACATCAAAAGCATCAAGGTATAATTTGTGGCACATAAAATCACGATAATAGCTTGAAACCTGAAGTGACTTAGCATAATGCACTAATATACTAAAGTGCCTCAACACTGGTACAAAATATTAGGATATTTCACTTACATAATCTTTAGACGATCGTCATTCATACATGTATCTCGGGTTTCCTCATTATTTCCTGAGTTTCATACAAGGCATAATTCTTATATATTATTTCTTCATAACGTTCTCATACTTATCACACAACATTAGGGGTTTTCACTTACAAGCTTATTAGACGAATTTTGATGGCTTTAACCTCTTCCCAAGTCCTTAACCAAAAATTAAACTCATTGCACAATTCATCATAATGGTATCGATACTAACCTCTTTAGTATCTGTAATATCCCAAACTTTTAGATAGTGAGCAAAATATAAAATTTTAAAAGTTTAGTAGCCAAAGTGTAAAATTTAAAAAAGTTTAGGGACCAAGTTGTAATTTTCAAAAGTTATATATTTTAGTCTCGTAAATAAATAGTTTACCTCAAGAATGACATTTTCATGGGTTTTAGATTTTTGATTCAGAAATTGTATTAAAAGGTATAAAGTGATAAAGTCTGATAAAAATTTGGATAATCAAATCAAATCGGATTTTTGAGATATTTTGAAGGATTATCGAGGAAGTTTAATAATGACATTTCCATGCTTAATATGAAAGGATTTAACATGGATCATTGAATTTAACATTAGTATAATTTATATAATATTTTATATTTCTTTGTCTTACTTTATTTATGATAATGTCTTACTAAGTGTATACTTAGTGTGTGATGTTTTTTCACGCGTAGGAAAAGTAGATCGAGTGGAGTAAAGAGCTTAGCTTGATATCATTGATCGAAGACTACTTAGTGGTATAAATAATGACATCCTACTCTTATTTCTAAATCTCTAGTTAACATGTATACGTATAATAAGTGTCAGTAACATATTAAAATGGGTTAGAAATGTTTTGATATGTTTATGATGCTTTAAAAAGGATTTATAATAATTTATGTGTCACATCCCCAACTCGCACCCGACTCGGATACGAATATGAGATATAATATTGACTTATCAACTCTTTAAATCTTTGAAAATCCGACTAAAATTTTACTTTTTGCTTTTATTGTAGTGGCAAAGCCCTCATTAAGATGAGTTTAAAAAATCAAAAGTTTATTATATACATTGAAAACAAATATTTAATATATTTTCATAAACCTTAATTAATATAGTTACAAACATATCAAAGCATTTGGAATTTAAACATTTTTAGTACATCCCAACAAAATTTCAAAAATAACAAATTCACATATTGTTCAAATTGGCCTGATATGATATTCTTCAAAGGTATGTTGTCCTGACTTAGCTTTACTTTGCTGACTTCTCTGAACCTACGTATGAAATACTCACACGCTAAGTCTTTGACTTATTGAGACATATTAAAACATTTACTTAAAATATTTAAAAAGAAACATTGAATACAGAAACATAATACATTTCATAAAATATAACATATACTATTAATCATTGTTAAATTCATATGCATTATTTAATTAGCCCAACATATATCACTGAGAACTCAAGGTTGTGAGTAGTTTGAGGTTGTGCATTGTAATTGCAGTCAAAACTACCGCGTATAATTTGCACCGAAGTGCCACGTAGAATATGCATTGAAGTGCCACATAGACTTGTCCCGAAGGACCGCGTAGAATTGACCCGAAGGACCGTGTAGAACCTTCACCTCTTGGCATTCCAATTATACCTCTAATTCTCATAGCACATACTTTAGGCTTTACCATATAATTATTTCACATAGTATTATTCAAATTATCATTTGTTCACATAAAACATATACTCATAGTATTTCACATAGCATTACTCAAATTATCATTTATTCACATAGAATAATTACTCATAGCATTTAACATAGCAAAGGAATCAAAACAATGCTTTTAGAATACAATTTATCTAAAACTATAACATAATACAAATCATTTTATTCAAAAATATTTGAGGTTGGCTCATCGCAAGCCGTCCTCCAATCATGTATAAATTAAGTAAGTTGCACTAACCTTTGCCTCACTTAAGTCCTAAGTAAAAATCCTTTTCTTTCTTGCTTAATCTCTTTATCACATCGATTCGTTTAGTACTTGCTTTTGATCGAAATCTAGACGTTAGCATGACTAAAATGAATACCATAGCTCAATTAATTATTAACAAATCAACATTTACACAAACTAAATGAAACACCTAATTCAAAATTTCAGACTGAATAGTATCGGTACTCTACACCCAGTACCGATACTCCCCTTCTATGGTACTGATACCTACCTCAGTATCGATGCCCAATTAGCATTTTGGAATTTCTTTTTCAATTGCAGTATCGGTACCTTACTATTGGTATCGTTACCAACAGTATCTATACTACTCATTTAGTATCGATACTGTTCACCTGATTCATATGGTATCGATACTGTTTTTCCATTACCGATACCCCTTGCCATAATTCACTTATTTCATTTCAAATTTTACCTAAAACTCACCTAAATCTCATACTTCTAACTCTATTCAAGCCCTTAAACTCAATAACATTTATCACAACCAACTTATATCAATTAAATTCCCTTTAACATCCAAAATTCTCACTAGAACACTTAAAACTAAAAATCACAGCCATTCTTCAAACATGTTTCCAATCCTTTCTAATATCTCAAACACCTTATTCAAACCTTTGACAAGTCAAATATATCTTTAAAATCCCAATACTAATCCATTTTCATAAACTCTCTTAAAAACACATTTTACCAAATCACCATTAACTCATTAATTTCATAGCTTCTAATCATCTTTAAACTTTCTTAAGTTTTTACACTACCCAATGATTCAAAACAAATTAAAAATGAATGAAATAACCAACTTTAAAATCACTTACCTTAACAATGGAGGTTCACCAGGAAGAGAAGAAGAAAAGATGAAGAGAGTTCTAGTATTTTCTTTTTCCTTTCATTCATTTCCTCACATGCTTAAATAACATTAAAATGAATTTTAAATTCATTTCATGCCAAAAGACCATTTTTCCCTTCCATCTTTCAATCTTTGATAATATATCCTAAACCAAAAATTCCAATCAATCCTTAAACTTTTCAATTTATCAAAATCAAACTGCTAAATTTTGAATTCTTACACTTTAGTCACTGACTGTTGTTTTGGGGTATTACATTATGCGTGTAGAATTTAGTAAGTAATATATGGTTATGAACATGATTTTTTATTTATGTAGTTTTTACGCAGTTTCACACACACACACACACATACACACACACACACACACACACACACACACACACACACACACATATATATATATATATATATATATATATATATATATTTTGGTTTTATGTGGTTAACTAATATTAATGATTGATGTAAAATTGAATGATTTTTCTAAACAATACTATACCGATTTTAGAATAAGGATTGTTTTTAAATGTTTGATGTGACATATCTAACTCGTATTCAAGGTGGGATACGAGAAATGGAGGTTACATTTATTGGTATTGGAGCTACATGTTTAGCCGATTATAGGCCTAAACTGAGTCTGTTTTGAGTTGAAAAGGTTGTACATGCCACTAGGATGTCATTGTTACTGATCTGGTGTTTAATTAATTGATGCCACTCATTGCTAATTAAAGTTGATAAGTACATGTATTTGATGTTTGATACATATGATTTGAGACGAGTGACCGAACAGGAGGATCCAAAAGGAATCACTA